CAGTGAGTTTTCCATCTTCTCAGACTCAGCTGCTCTCACCCGAGAGAGCATGATAAGGTTCTTGATCCCTTCCAAATTAGATGTGGATGTCGAGCTTGACTTGGTACGAACTTGCCAGTGTATGCACGAACATGGTCGAATCAACCCTCGAGTCAAATTCGACATGGTAGGTTGCTTTCGCACCTAGTGCTTGTCAGAGTGCCTCAAGCGTAAAATTATAGTGTGCCATGCTTGTGTTCTCACGGACTTGACTAAACACCCAAGACATCATTCGGACCTTGCCACGAATGATTGCTTTCTTTAAGTATTTAGGAGGGTGACACGAACAGTAACTCATTCTTGCCCTCAGATCAACATATCTTTTTCACTCTGCCATGAGGTTGGCAATGAACCTCCAATCTTTCCTCGAGCTCAACTATGAGTCTCAATCAAAGTGATCCGACACCGATCCTTATATAGAATATATAGAAAAAATATTATTTTAATTTTATTCTATTCTATCTTGCGACCACAAAGAAACAGATTTAAAAATATCTTTCCATGAAAGATTTTGCCGAAAAGTAAAAAATGAAAACCCAATAAAACAAGTTTAGAAACTGAGTTGGAACTTTCCAAAACTGAAAATCATTACTAACAATCTTAAATTAAATTCTTAATCAGCATTATATACGGAGTATTAGATTAGGAAGCAATGCTGTCACCAACACAATCTAAATAGAAGCCGTGCCCAGACCCGAAATGTGCTTTAAGATTTAGGAAACTCCGAACCAATGGCCTTATTTCCTTCCTTAGCCGTTGGATTTGAATAAAAAGCCCTCCCTCCATCCCAGAATGCCAAACGCCCAAACCAGACAAGACCCGTTGTTCTTGCACCTATTACCCCTCCGGGTTTTTGTTTATAATCCCTCCCTCTCTTTCTTCTTTGGAAGGAAAGATTTCATTTCTTGTATTTTTGTCGTTTCGTGTTCTTGGGTTTCTCATTTCTGAATAAAGATGAATCAAGAAAACATGGTTATGTCTGATGAGAACAATCCTACCTTGATGACAGACAAACAGACAACTGTTCAAGGTAACAACTGCTTGGGAAATTCTGGCTGGAAATCAAAGATTATCAGTTTCTGAAAAATGTTTTTCTATTGTTATTTTGTGTGTGTTTTTTTTTTTTTGGATGAATGAAGGTGCGGCAAACATGAAGGGAAGAAAGATGGAATTGGATAACCGGACCAACAGGAGAGCATTGAGTGTCATAAATCAGAACTTAGGAGCTCTTCCATTTAAGAAGAGTGGAACATCACAGTACTTCTCATCTATAAACTATAAAAAAAAACATGTTTTTGTCCTTTATTTTGTGTCTGAGAATGCTGATTTTCTTGATATTTCTTGTTCTCAGAACAAACAAGATGCCCAGTAATAATCCTCCTGTACCAACTCACAGGCCCATCACAAGGTCACAGAATAAAATCAAAAACTTCTTCTTCCAATTGTTATACCATGGACCAGGCTGTTACAGGCAACGTGAACCTGGTCCAAAATGACATTCAGATTATATGTCAACTATAATTGGTATACTATGGGTCAGGGTTCACCTTGCATTGTGAACCCTAGTTCAAAACAACATTCGTGTCTACTACAATTAACATATTATGTCTCTGTAGTTAATAAATTATGTACCTGCAGTTAACATTTATAGGTAAATAATTTGTTAATTGCAAACACATAATTTGAATGTCATTGGATTTGGGTTCACAATGCAAGTTGAATCTGGTCTGTGTAATTTGCCTTCTTCTATTATTGTTGTTGTTATTAGACTCAGATTATGAAATTTCATTTTGAATAAAGGAAATTTGCTGCTCAAATGGCTAGCTTGCATCAACATCAGCATGAGGTACATATATAGGGAGTAGTATAATTATGTATTCGAATCGAACAATGTATAATTCATTGACAGAGTGTAAATTATACTGAATGTGGCTTAATGATGTTCAGCAGGAAAACAAGAAACCAAAAGTTGAAGCTAAGGAGTTGAGTATCTGGGAGGATAGAGATGAGCAGGAAAACGTAGGGGCTAATGGCCAACATGCTCCCATGGTTTTGGAACAGACAGAAACAGATTCAACAGAGAAAGCTCAAATGGTAATAGGATTAGATTGTATATATGTTGCTTCTTGCATCTGTTAAGGTTGTTTTGTTGTACCCACCTAATGAGCCGCTAAGTCACTTTAATTTACCACCTCCACAAATCTTGTCGGCCGAGGTTTGGATGTTCTGTTGTATATTGGATAACTGAACCCCAAGTGTTTTGGTAGGATATATCTGAAGAGGCTGTACTGGACATTGACAGTTGTGACATGAACAATCCTCTTGCAGTCAATGAATATGTGGAAGATCTCTTTGCTTACTACAGAAAAGTGGAGGTATGTAAATTAACCTTAGAAATTCTTATACTAAATGTCTAAATGCTTAGTGTCAATTTTACCATGGAAAATTTCATATTCCCTACTAATTGTTGATATATGTATGTGATAGATTATCTTAACAATTATTTAATTTGCCAAGTACCTTGCGGTCTGATGGCATCACTATTATCCTTCCAAACAAGAGGTGTTCGAGTCCTATCCCAATCCACGGCAGGAAATTATGAAATTTCCGACCACCTGAAAGTGATTTTAAATCAAGTCGAAAACCTTGTTCCGACCACTTTTTGCTTTTGACTTGATTTAAGATCATTTCAGGTTGTCGGAAATTCCATAATTTCCAGCAGTGCTATCAACGATGTTGGTATTATCATGTTGAACAGATACTATGTACTATCACCTCTAATAACAAATAACAACCATGATATGCAGAAGTCTAGCTGTGTTTCACCAGGCTATATGGATCAACAGTTTGACATAAATGAGAGGATGAGAGCTGTACTGATTGACTGGCTTATTGAGGTACATGAAATAAGTCTTCCAATTCAAAGGCCGGGAATCAGATTATGTTTTTGGTTATCGATTTATGGAATCATTCAGTTAATTCTGCCCCGATGAACATCGGGGCATGCAGGTGCATCACAAGTTTGAACTGAGGGAAGAAACACTGTTTCTGACTGTCAACCTGATAGACAGGTTCTTAGAGAAGCAGACAGTTGTGAGAAAGAAGCTGCAGTTGGTAGGAATGGTTGCCATGCTACTGGCTTGCAAGTACGAGGAAACTGCTGTTCCGGTTGTGTCTGATTTTATATATATTTCAGACAAGGCTTATACGAGGAAAGAAGTTCTTGATATGGTTAGTTTATATCACAATAAATCCACAAAGCTTTCATATATACTAAGTTACTAATTCATTATATAAATCCACAGGAAAGTTTGATGCTTAAAACATTGCAGTTTAACTTGTCAGTTCCAACTCCATGTGTCTTTATGAGAAGATTCCTTAAGGCTGCTGAATCTGACAAGAAGGTTTGGGCATTTAAACATGTTAATTATATACTTGTATTACCTTATTTTGCTGAATTATATTAATGAAGATGTTGGACTCGATCTGCTACCTTTTACAGCTTGAATTACTGTCATTCTTCTTGATAGAGCTGTGCCTTGTGGAGTATGCAATGCTTGAATGTTCACCATCCCTTTTGGCTGCGGCTGCAGTCTACACTGCCCACTGCACACTCTACGGCGTTAGGCAATGGAGCAAGACCTGCGAGTGGCACACCGGCTACTCACACCATCAACTTCTGTAAATAACTTTCTCTCCTAGCTTTTCTCAGCCAAGTTCGACTTTCAGTGGGAGCTGTTGAGCATATAACTATTAATGTGCAATCCAACTATGAACTTAGGCTTTTAGTTAAGATGGAGCACATGCTTCAATTGGAGCCAACCTTCTTGGGTTGAGTTGGTCAGCTATGGGCACCCTAGACTGGTTTTATTACCTCGTAATCTTTTGCTTGCTAGGGTTACTAGGCGGGGTTTGCCCAATGCACACTCACGGGTAGTGGCTGCAGATTTCCCTCGCCCCTCGAAAAATATGTATATATCAATGATGATCATTTTAGTATTTGAAATTCAGGGAAAGCTCAAGAATGATTGTGGGCATCCACAAAAAGGCTGGGACTGGGAAGCTAACAGGAGTATATAGGAAGTACAGCACATCAAAGTTTGGCAATGCAGCCAAGTTTGTACCGGCAGCTCACAAAGAATGCATGCAAGGCATATAAATTCAGGAAGAGAAGAGAAGAGAAGAGGAAGACTTCCCATGGTGTTATTCATCTAAAGAACACTGGTTTTTGGCGATAGTTTCAATTTTATCATACACAGATTCATCTTTTTATTTTTGTTTCCGGGTTTGACAATAATTACAGAACTATGGAATATTATTTTGACGCAAGTTCCAATGAAGTTTTTTCTAAAAATGTATAAGTTTTAAAAAGTGTCTATTTTTGTCTAGTCCCTTCAATTTTTGCCCTTTCAGTCGATAGGGGCTATTTGACAAAAGGTGATATGATGATGGAGGACAGTGCATATAGTAAATTTGATGAATATATTGAGTCCGACCCTTGAAGAAAGGTCTAAGTAGATGGGTCCGGAGAGCAGGGGCAACTTCGGTAGGATAATGCAAAGGACAGGAGAAAAAAGTCTAGACAAGGTGCAGAGGACCCTCTATGGCTAGCCTCATGTTGGCTATCGAGATGGACCTCCAAGGTGCATCTCCAAGTCCGAACGGGGTCAGTTTGGTCTTGATCTAGTCTCAAAGGCTATCTTAATTTGAGAGTACGTGTTTATTAAGGAGATTAGTTTGTATAGTTAAGCCTTATCCAGACAAGACAACATCATGTTCGTTCCTTACAAACCCTTTTACAACACAAACACTTATCCAAGAAATCTTCTAGCAATATCTTTATCTAAATTTTTTATTATTGTTTTCATTATCTTGTTCTTATTTCTTATCTGGAGTTAGTTAATTTGAACATAGGTCAATTAATTCCATCCAAAGTGTATGTGTAAAGCACTTCACTATGACTTCATTGAAATCGTCCCTGCACCGCCGGGTCTGGTCTCGGGGCAAGTAGTAGACACTTGCTCAAATACCCTTCGCTAACATCTACAAATACCAAGGGAAAAAAAAAAAAAACAAAGCAATAAGCTATTTATTTTTTGGTGTCTTTTGAACATGAAATTGCCAATAAAGTAGTGTTTTTGATATGTTCATTAATGGATTTGTCAAAAAAATTTGAAACCTTTCAAAAATATCAATTAACTAAAGTTATTAGTGAAATTTTACCTCCTAATAAATAATACTCCAACTCCACATCATAACAATTAGCTAGCGATCAGAAATACAAATCATTGACATATTTTGCACTAATTTTTAAATTTTCTATTAATTTAATCAAGGTTCATAGTTTACATGCATTTTTGTGTTTCTAACTACTAAATCATGGTGTTGAAGTGTGATTAGAGGAGAAGATAAACAAGAGATAAAATTCTGTTATTAGTTCCCGTCAATTAAGATTTTTTTTTAAAAATAACAATAAATTTTAACAAAATCATTAATAGGAGATCAGAACTTGAAAGTGTTACTTTATTAACAACTCAAAAATAAAATAGAATAATAATATCTCGTATAACACAAAAATTTACTATTACCTATATAATCCGTATAATTTATAAATTAATAGTGCAACTCTGCAGTAATATGTATATATACTCATAGTGACATGTATACTTAGCATACCATGTTAGTTTCATTGTTGTTAATGATGGATCTTTGTCTTCTACATACCCTATCACCTTTGCAGGTATTCCTGCCACCATGCTTCAAAAGCCAAGCAAAAAAAAAAAAAAGGTTAGAAACATTGGTTTGGCAACAAATTTTGTTTTAAGTCGTCCTAACCAGCAAAAATTCTAAAAAGATAAATTAATTTACGTGAGTTTTAATAACTAATTAAATTGAGAAATTAATCAACAAGCTTTTAACTAGAAATTAAACTTGTAACCTTAAAGTTATATAAAACCTGGCTAAGCTAGAAGTCATTAGTAATTTATTACCCTACCTGTGAGGAGGAATGTCTTTTAATACAAGGGAACCTGCTGCTATGATTGCACCTTCTCCAATTATAATGTTACCAAGTATAGTTGCACCAACTCCAATAACTGCACCTTCACCTATTTTTGGATGCCGCTCCCCTACTTCTTTTCCATTTCCTCCTAAAGTCACACCCTACCAAACACATTTACATAATTCATATCAAATAATTCTTTGTGGTGTAAATATAGTCTTTCAATTGTACGCATATTATCAAAGTGATAAATTTAGTCCACTATTTCAATAACAACCGAGCAAATAAATTTGAATTATGAATAATTAGAGACTAAATTTATGCAGTAGTTCTCTATAATCTAGTTATATATATTACTATTGGCATTTGATAATTAGATTTAGTTTTCACTTTCAATTAGTTTTGAAGTCAAGATATGATGGCTCTAAATTGAAGAGTTGCGCTCAACCAGCATTAGTTAAAAATCTTATATTTAAAAAACGAAAAGAATCATATGAATTGAACAGAGTAAAAATTTAAAAAAATATAATGAAGATGCATGCACTTACTTGCATTAGTGAAACTCTATTGCCAATTACAGCAGTTTCACCTATGACAATACCTGTTGCACCATCCAGAAGGATCCCCTCTCCGATTTTCGCAGCTGCACAAATAATATATTTTATTTTCTCATGTAAAATCTGTTCTAATCCAAATTAATTAATAATGTGTACTTATTCAATTCACTTACACTTATTCACTACTTAAACATCATCATATGTAACTAATTGCATGCAATAATAAATTAATAATGTGACGCTAATTAATTAATTAAAGCACTATTATATATACCTGGATGAATATCAACTCCAAACACCTGCAACGAAGCAACACTTTCACATTATAAGGAAACAATATTAAGATCAAATACTTAAGAATTTCTAACAATATAGCGTATACAAAGAAGTATCGAGTTAGTGCCACATTTAGTTTCATGAGATGAGGGACATTCCAACTATTTATATTATACTAGTACATGCATGACTATAAAAATTGTACTATAAGTGCACAATTCAACTTATATTTTGTACCCAACTCTTGGTCCTTTAATGTGAGCAATTCAGTGAAAGTCCACTAAATTTTGTTACCTAATTTGTGGGTGCGTGGCGAAATTTTATATGCAAAAATTTCATTTTCCGTAAGAACATGTCGTGTGAATGCATGGACATTTTTGCCTAGTTAGTCGAAAGTGACATTATAAAATCTAATGAAATTTCATCATAATTCTCACTAAAAGAATAGAAAGGAGAGAAGTCAAAAAGTATGCACCTATATAGTGACAATTTTTATAGTTGTGCATCAGTTATGAAAATAAAGTTCTGGCAAGGGCGAATGGTGGTGCACACAAGAAATTTACTCACTTTAAGTTTAATCCCCACACATACTGCCATTGCAAAAATTTGAACCTTGGTATACCAGTGAACTAATTCCGTATGGGCTAGATCTTAATTAGTATAGAATATATGTAAAGGACTAAAGGGATATAATTAATATTAATTACCTCACTAGTTCGACTTTGTAATGCCAATGCCAGGACTCTTCGACCTTGGTTCCATAATGAATGTGCAATTCGATGCGTTTGTAATGAATGGTAAGCCTACAAATTTTAAAAAATTAATTATAGATTATGCTCTAGAAATGACTACTGGAGTAGTCATAATCTGCATGTAGTCTAATAGCATAAATTTGTATGAAAGATTGTAAGTTCGATCAACCCCTACCAACATATTAAGGTGTATAGAATGATGATAACCAATACCAAAAAAAAATAAAAATAATAAATGTCACAGATCATAGCAAAGGCTAAAGATGGAAGACAAAACACCTTAAGATACAACAGAGCAGAGCAATAAGACAAACAGGAGCGATCCCTATCTTTGAAGGCCTGCAAGGAGATCAAAGAAGAGTAAACATTAGGTTAGAAGTTTGATTTACGTACGTGCATGTAACAACACCTTTGAAAGAGATGCTATGAATATATAGGTCTATTCGAATCTCAATTGAATTAGTCTTTACTCTATATATATGTACCTGCAAATCCAATCGAATGGAGCGTTGGACCTCTGGATCATGCAAAATTACACCACAAAAAATGTCAAATAATTGAGGTGCCAAAAGAGTGGGATTTTGTAGGTGATTGGCAATAACAAAACTTATCGCCCGCTCTAAACTATCATGTGACAAAATGGTGGCATATAGAAAGCTACTTAAGACGGCCGGTTCCTTCTCTGCCTGCCAACATTCATTACAATATGGATATTAGTTAGAAGAAAGATTTAAAAAAACAAAAACAAAAACAAAAACAAGAGGGAATTGAACATTGGAAATATTTTCTTTATTTATTAAACTGATTTTAAGGTTTTTGTGTTCCTGCGTGTGTTTTGAGCTTCAATAACTTACAATCTATAAATAATTACGAGTTGTATGCTTTATTGAACTTATCTTTGAGCTCAGGTTGCTTGCAGTAGTTCGTTAGTGACATGTTAGAGCATTTATGTCAGAAAATTATGCAAAGTTTATACACGTTTAAAAAAAAAAAAAAAAAAAAAAAAAAAAAAGTAAAGTAAAGTGAGGTGGAGGAGAGAGGTGATGGAGAGAGAAGTCAAAATTTTAGCGTAGTAGTAAATGTTTGATCTAACAAGTGTTATCAAAGCATGTATAAGAAAATAAAGTCATGTATTCGTTACTAGCTATAGCTTAAAAGGCTCGTATCATCAAGAAACTAATATCAACCTACAATTCTATTTTATTCTTTATAACAATGTATAATATGGATTTCTATGTTCCTACTGCGCTCCCCTTCAACCATTATATTATTTAACAATAAGGCTATAGGACGTTTGGTAGCCAGAAAAAGTTTGAACTTTTCAGGAATTTAAAAGATGAAAAAATTATTCTCACGTTAGGTGTACTTACAACGTTATTAGCTCCCATATATAATGTTATATATTATTACCATTGAAGAAGATAAGAAAATATACGGTAAATACATGTGTATAGTAATAATAGTTGAAAAGATAACAGAAGTTATAACCATAAATGTATTTTTTACCAAAATATTGTATAATACAACTCTTATAGCATAATATATAAATAAAAATAACAAAAAAAAAAAGAGACATAAATGAATGATATAACCTTCATTCAAACTTATTAATTTTTATATAGATTTTTGTGAACACATCCCCGAGCAGTTGAATTAAAGTAATGTTGGGAGATATTCCATAATTCATTATTCATGAAATTTTCTATATCCATAAATATACTTCCCGTTTTGTCATGTATTGTTTTCTATAATTAAAATGGTGAATATCATGAATTGATAAAATAAATAAATAAAATGGACATGTCAAAGGTCGAGGTAACGAGGTATCTTATGTATCCCAACGAAAGCACCCGTATACCATCGGCCCCTTCCAAAAATAATTATCACTATATTTTGGTCATACTTTAAAAAATAAATAAATTTGTATTAATTGAACAATATTCACTAAATACAGTTTGGTTCAAATGGGCCTATAGAGTGTTAGACAATGATATATATATCGAAATTTAAAAAAAAAAAAAAATCAGTAAAAACATTTTTTTTTTGTAAAGAAAAAAAAAACATATTTATAATTTACCTCGGACTTAGCTTCTTCACGAACAGAATCCCAGATGAGGTCTCCAGTCATGGCACCCGAATTTGTCTCCAGATCCGATACGCCGACGGCGTAAACCGGGAACGCCTTCTCCGACGACCGGCAGTCATCGCCCATGGTCTCGGTGGCCGGGAGTTCGATCTCAGGAGGAGACTGAGCGGGAGCGCGTGTGCGTGACGTTTGCTTATTGTGTACATGTAAGTGTATGTATGTATATATATATATCTCTTTCGACTGTAAAAACCTAGGGTTTTACCATAGGGTGCATGCAGATGAGAGGCGTTGAGAGAAAGAAAAGAAGATGAAGGAACTCAAGGAAGCTAAGGTGCAAAACACTTGCTTTTGCTGCTTATACGCCATGGTAGAAACTGGAAAGTTCTTTAATTTTTTCATTTTAATTAAAAAGTATTACTATTATTGCCGGGATAAATATTGGGAATGAGGAAAATTACATCTTTGGTTTATTAGATATACCCTATTTTCGACTTTGTCTTTCAGTAATGACTGTATCTATTTTTTATTCTTATATTATAAAATTTTGTTTCAACTTCACGGAAAAATCTAAAAACACTAATCGTTCACTGTCATATTCAGCTTATTCATAATGTTTGCAGTGTTTCTGCCGTGCAAGAAAAAAAAAATCAAAAGAAGAGTTTAGTTTAGTTTTAATATATCAATTAAATTTGTTTATGTTTAGTCATTATTTTTTAAAAAAAAAAAAAATTCTTTACTTCAAAATGTCTGATCTTCACTTTGTAAAAATTTCACTGTATGTAATATTTACTTATGGAAATTTTTGGTTCAAGTTAATATAAAATAACTAATGTAACTTGAATATAATTATGATTCAAACTATAAGATACCTCATTGTAATGTGAAATTAATTCCATATCAAATTTTAGTGTTACGGAAAGGTAATTTTGTACTTCGTATTACATTTTCCACTTTATGTAGTGTAAGATAATATTGGCAATGTGAAATGATTTTCTTTGTCTTTCAAAATTAACATATTTCTACATGTAATGTATGTGTGTGTATTTATTTATTTATAACTTTATTTATAAATATGTGCAGACACATATAAAGGGTATTAATTATTAAAGTAAAATGCTATTCTTAATAAAAATAATAATAAAATATAAAACATTCAACAATTCAACCTACCATGTTACATTCCCCTATTTTAATTACCCATAGCATGCTCGTAGAATTCGACCACGTGACCTAATTCTAATATGTACTAATTATAGGATCAAGTGCTTACCACTAGGTTACAAGTTATATCTAATAGTAAAAGTATAATTTTTTTTTTTTTTTATACTTGCGTAACAGTCAACGCCATAATCTAAAAGCATGATACTAAACTTTGCTCTCCGACCCGCAAGCCGAACATAATGTTTAGGATAAATTTGATAACCATTATTTAGATCAAGGTTTTTAACCAAATATTTTATACAATAACATGGTAAGTTTCATAATTGTTTTTTATACTTAGATGTGAATTGCAAATTGACTAAACCACGATATAATTTTGTACTGTCACGTCTGATGGTAATATTTATTTAATAAAAAATTTGCACTTATTCGTATAATATTGTCCTAGAATATTTACACATTTTGATTAATTGTACAACATAGATTAATTAATTTTTATAAATTGTATAAAATTTACACATTTAATGGATTGTACTATGGCCCTGTTTGGTATAATATTAATCTATCAGCCAATTTTGATTTATTTAACCACTATTAATTGTTTGATTTGGTTAAAATTAAAGATCAACTATGATCCAAAATGTTAAAATTCAAAAAGTTGCTCAAAGCAGTTTTTCATTTAACTTTTTTGAAAAAAAAAAAAAATTATACCAAATAGCTAACAGTTAATTTAGCAAATACAATCTGCTAATGTTACCAACTAGTTATACCATCTAATTAACTCAATCAGCAAACAACTAATAGACATTTACCAAACAGGGCCTATATATTTTGTCCATACATAAAAAGAATAATACTCAGTACAAATCAATAAACTCCTCATAATAATATTATAATAATAATAGACTAATCCTAAGCTCACAGGACCCCCTAGAGCCTCTGCAAAGGTAAATCGCAAGTCACTCAATAAGGCGACCAGTTAGATCCTAATTTTCATGTGTGCACAAGCAATCCAAACATGTTTTATTTTTTTAATATACATGTTATAGTGGGATTCGAATTCCCACACTGTACTATTGCTTCCGGTCATGACTCAGGACTTTTAAGTCAAGCAACAATCCACTTATGCTAAATTCTGAGAACAACGTAGTATCATCACACTACATAGTAATTGTCCATTGCTACATTATTATTATTATTATTATTATTATTATTATTATTATTATTATTATTATTATTGTTATTGTTATTATTATTATTATTGTTGTTATTATTATTATTATTGTTATTATTATTATTATTATTATTATTATTATTATTATTATTATTATTTTTTTTTTTTTTTTTTTTTTTTTTTTTTTTTTTTTTTTTTTTTTTTTTTATTATTATTATTATTATTATTATTATTATTATTATTATTATTATTATTATTTTATTATTATTATTATTTATTATTATTATTATTATTATTATTATTATTATTATTATTATTATTATTATTATTTTTTTTTTTTTTTTTTTTTTTTATTATTATTATTATTATTATTATTATTATTATTATTATTATTATTATTATTATTATTATTATTATTATTATTATTATTATTATTATTATTATTATTATTATTATTATTATTATTATTATTATTATTATTATTATTATTATTATTATTATTATTATTATTATTATTATTATTATTATTATTATTATTATTATTATTATTATTATTATTATTATTTTATTATTATTATTATTATTATTATTATTATTATTATTATTATTATTATTATTATTATTATTATTATTATTATTATTATTATTATTATTATTATTATTATTATTATTATTATTATTATTATTATTATTATTATTATTATTATTATTATTATTATTATTATTATTATTATTATTATTATTATTATTATTATTATTATTATTATTATTATTTATTATTATTATTATTATTATTATTATTATTATTATTATTATTATTATTATTATTATTATTATTATTATTATTATTATTATTATTATATTATTATTATTATTATTATTATTATTATTATTATTATTATTATTATTATTATTATTATTATTATTATTATTATTATTATTATTATTATTATTATTATTATTATTATTATTATTATTATTATTATTATTATTATTATTATTATTATTATTATTATTATTATTATTATTATTATTATTATTATTATTATTATTATTATTATTATTATTATTATTATTATTATTATTATTATTATTATTATTATTATTATTATTATTATTATTATTATTATTATTATTATTATTATTATTATTATTATTATTATTATTATTATTATTATTATTATTATTATTATTATTATTATTTATTATTATTATTATTATTATTATTATTATTATTATTATTATTATTATTATTATTATTATTATTATTATTATTATTATTATTATTATTATTATTATTATTATTATTATTATTATTATTATTATTATTATTATTATTATATTATTATTATTATTATTATTATTATTATTATTATTATTATTATTATTATTATTATTATTATTATTATTATTATTATTATTATTATTATTATTATTATTATTTATTATTATATATTATTATTATTATTATTATTATTATTATTATCACGGAAAATTGCATATCATTTGCAGATAAATTTTATAATACTAAAAAGACATTTGACCTATTATTATAATACTTTTAACTTTATTGAAATATGGTACCTTTTGGTATAATAGACTTTTGCATTGATTGTATTGAAATCCCATATAAAGGGATACGATTCCTGGGAGGTGCTTGGCTATGGCTAATAAGGAGGCTTTTTGGGCACGTGAAGGGCACCAGAGGGACAAGAATTGTCCTTTTGGCATCCAAACGCACCGTTAGTTGTATCTGCCCTCGATAACGTCCAGGAACATTTCCCGCAACCTCGTAATTCCATCATCGGATCCAAAAAAATATACAGAAACCAAATCGTGTCTTATCATAAAGTAGTTGTAAATATGCCCCGTGCTATTGAAGAATGCCAATGGAAAAAAATAAAAGTAAAATCATATAATTACAGTAAATGAAGAACACATACATCTTATTAGGGTCACTTGTGTGAGACTTGTTACGGATAAGTATATATGAGACGTTTTACAAAAATAGTATTTGTGAGATTGATCGGATCAATATAAAAATGTAATCCCAATTATGAATAAAATATCTGTTATATGTAAGGGGAATATTATAAAGTATCATTTTAATTATATTACAGTTTTATTTGACAATATACACTATTGAATGAGTTTTGTTTTTTAGTTTCATTTTTCACACACACTAGTTTGATAATAGCAACACTTAAAGTAACATTTTAATTCTACTACAGTTTCATTTGACTACCATGGTCCACTGTATAACAACTAAAGATTTCAAATTATATCGTAGACCTTGATCTAAAATGGCATCGTTTCATATTAAGTTAGTAATGAATGCATCATGTTTAATAGCATTTATCTTGTACTATGTTTATAATATTTATTTTATATGTTCATAAACATACACCTTAATGTACATAAACATTAAACTGCATGTGCATTATATATATTTTCATTAGATCTATGTATTAAATTTATAATGTTCCTTTTTTATGTCCATAAAAACAAAGTTTAATATACATAAATATTACACTACATGCGTATCATATTTAATACTCTGTATCATTTATCATGTACTATATTTGTTCTATATAATCATAAATCTAAACCTTAATATCCATAAACATTAAATTGTAAGTACATCATATATATTTTAATTCATTAATTATGTAGTATGTTTGTGAAAATATGTACATAAACTTAATGCACATAAACATTATATTATAAGTGGACCATGATTGTAGTGCGTGGTGAACTACGCAAATGAGTAATAATCATGCTACTTGAAATAATGTCATTTTAGATTATGATTTTTCTTGTAAAGTGAATGTTGGTTCACAATATAACGGTGGTATAAAGAAGTTACTACTCGCCGTTATTTTTTAAATGATGTGTGCAAAATTGTAAAATTTACATGAAAATTAGGTCACAAGATAGCATGTACTCCGTTTAATTTTAGTAGAAGTATTTTATTTTGTTAAAGAAATATTTTACAAAGGAATGAAATTACCAAGTCTTAGCGTAGATTTGTTCAGGCAAATTATATCGTGCATTGTGCGCCCTGACCAAAACGACGTCATTTTATATCTTTTTTTTTTTTTTTTTAAATAGTACTCCGTATCTGTTTTTTTTTTTTTTTTTAAGGAAATTTCATTTTCTCTGTTTCGAATGTACAGAATTGTATAGTAGAATACACATAAACTTATAACATAGTACACATAATCTAACATAATACATAATATACATAAACTCTTAACAGAATATACAAACTCTTTTCAGAACACACATAAACTCTTAACATAACACAAATAAAATCTTAACATAAAAAACAACGTCATTTTGGGTAAGGTGCACTATATAAAACAATGTATTATGCGCCCTGGTGCACGATATAACAAATGATTTGTTCACTAGTGGGCTTCGCAAGTTCAAAATTGGAATGAACATGGACTTTGCTACGCCCAAATGTAAGACTTGGTTTTTATGTAATGACAATGGGTCATTATTTATTTGGCAAATTATACTGTGGACCATAATTCCATTATTGGAAGTATTTCTCTCTTTAATGTAAAAAAAAAAAAAAAAAAAAGAAGTTACGTTTTAATTGTAAGCTAGAATTATAAACATAAAAATGTTCCATAAACAATATTTGCAATTAAGAAAAAGAAGAATCGATCACAGCCTAACTTGGAATTGGACGGAAGAACAAGCCATTGGTCTGATCAATCACATGCAACTACAAATAGTAACACTTTTTAAAACATCATATGTTTAGTGCAATTCCTAGGAGTAAAACATTCCTATGTTTAGATTTTATTAGTGGAATAAAAGGAAATAAATGAAAATTGTTGCTCGCTCTTTTTTGAATCAATATGACACGTTAATAAACTAAACGCTATGTAAAAAATAGGAGTAAATATAATATTATTATTTTTTAAAATACTAGTTTTTGCCAATATTTTGTGGGTAATACAATACTAAATACTTTTGTTTTGATCAAGTGGCTTGTGATCTACTGATATTTGGTTGCTTCCTTATGTGGGAGGTTTGAAGTTCGAGTCTTGGTGTAAGTGTAAATTGTATATATATGTAGGTATCCCCTTCTTTTGTAATAATAAAAAAAATACCTTTGTTTTCAATATATGACGAGTTGACAACCTTGGTATTTTTTATTTTTTTTTTTAGATGTATTTGAATTTTTCGTCCTGGGTGAAAAGTTAAACCACCAAAAATAAAATTATCTACTTGTTAAAAATAAAGTACCTTTGTTTTTAATATATGACAAGTTGACAATCTTGGTTTTTTTTTTTTTTTTTTTTAAGATGTATTTGAATTTTTCGTCCTTGGTGAAAAGTTAAACCACCAAAAATAAAATAAAATTATCTACTTGTTAAAAATGAAGCATAATAGTGAGAGGGATCGTATCTGTAAGGAACGGGTGACTTACTCCTTTAAAAATAAAACACAGGTAGAACTATTAATACGGACTGGAGGGGCGGGCCAAAGCTTGCCAGTCCGCGGGCCTAGATGGGACGGGCCGAAAAGTTTGCTCCTTGGCAGACTTGGATTTTACTAGCCCAGGCCGCCCTTGGGCCCGCGGGCTAGGGGCTGCCCTGCCACACGGCAAATTATGCTGTGCATCCGTATGCACCATGCATAGTGCATACGGATGCAAAAACGACGTCGTTGTAATAAAACGCGCATCTCTTCTTAAAAAAAAAAATCAGGTTCGATTCCCAGCAACAACATATGAACTAAAATTCCATAATCAATGAACTATAATTCCATAATAAATGAACTATAATTCCATAATCGATGAACTATAATTCCATAATCGATGAACTATAATTCCATAATCTAATCTATGAACTAAAAATTCCAGAATGAATGAACTAAAATTCCATAATCTATAAACTAAAATTTCAGAATCGATGAACTACAATTTCATAATCGATGAACTATAATTCCATAATCAATGAACTATAATTCCATAATCTATGAACTAAAATTCCAGAATGAATGAACAATATAATGTTGTTGCTGGGAATCGAACCTGAATTTTTTTTAAAGGGGAGACGCGCGTTTTTTAATAAAACGACGTCGTTTTGGCATCCGTATGCACCATGCATGGTGCATACGGATGCACAGCATAACTATCCCTGCCACACACCCCCCTTTTTGTTTTTGTTTTTGTTTTGTTTTTTTGTTTTTTTTTTTTGTTTTTTTTTTTGTTTTTGTTTTTGTTTTTTTTTTTTTGTTATTCTTAAATCTTAAATAGTTAGTTTGTTACTTTGTTAAACTTTATCATCTGTACACTCTAAAAATAATTAAAATAGCTTGTTAAATAACTCACATAAAACATAGTTCTTCAAACATTAGACATTACATAATTGATAATACATAACTATAATTATAAAGTAATTTAATTCCATTTTTGGTCCTAGATTTATAGGTGGCAATCCACTTTTAGTTCTTTTTTATCAGAACATCCCCTTTTGATCCTAGTATTATTATGACATGACCAATTTTGGTCCTCTACCATCAAAATTGTTGAAATTTCGTTAAATACAATGACATTTCGATCTTTTTAATACAAAGTGTGTTGACCTGTTATATTTTTTTATGTTTATTTCGTTGAAAAAAAATTCATAATTGAAGACCGAATTATCCTTGTATTTAACAGTATTTAAACTGTTTTGTTGATAGATGACCAAAAATGGTCATGCTGCAATTATACTAGGACCGAAGGAGGATGTTTGGAAAAAAAAAATGACTAAAAATAGATTATCACCTATAAATTCAGGACAAAAAATGGAATTTCACAAGTCCATAGTTCATCAAACATTAAACATAACAATACTCCATGGTTCATCAAACTCACAAGTCACAACTCCATACTCCATAGTTCATCAAATATCAAACATTAAACATAACAATAATTTTAAAGTACATAACAATAATTCTAAAGTTCCCAAGTCCATAATTCAGCAAACATTGAATATTCCATCATTCATTTCATCTTCATTCATATCGTCTCCTTTATCTCCTTGATCAATAACTTTATCGTCATCATCACAATCTATATATAAAATACATAAAAAAATGTTTAAAATTAAATCACCAATAATTAAAAAAAAAAAAAAACTAAAATAATATAACATAAGACTTTATAAATTAACTTACACATATTGAAATCATGCAATCATTTACGAGTGCAAATAATAGTACAACTAGTTTGATATTTTTCAAGCAACATACAATTTGTATACCAGCACATGTGCACCAATACAAATAGATCTAAAAAAAAATGGGTATCAAGCACAAGTGCACAACCTATAAATCTCACAAAGGCACAAATACAAATCGCAATTCACAAATACAATTAATTAGAATAGTGATTTACATATAGATGTTACAAATTTATTGTTGCAAATTTCGTAATAAATTGATGCAAGAAAAAGTGATTGGTCTGGGCAATTTATATCGAAGACCGGGGTTCACATAACATTATAGACCAAAAATCAAAATGACGTCATTTTGATTTTTAAATTATAATGAATTCTCAGTTTTTTCGTTTCTCATGTTTTTATATAGCTAATGATATATTCCAGGTACAGAATTCATATTGTTAAGGTATAAAAACTCACAACACAAGACACATACACATGTTATATATTTACTTTATTTTCAAATTCGATTTAGGTAGATAATTTATGTTCTATAGGCACAGAATTTCATAACACACAAGATATAAATCCATAACATAAGACACACAATATATTGTGTGTTACACAACTACTAATCTATTCTAGATACAGAATTCACATTCTTTAAGGTACAAAAATTCATAACACAAGACACAAAAACTCACAACACAAGATACATGCATATGTTATATATTTACTTATTTTAAAATTTAATTTAATTAAAAAAATTATGTTTTATAGGCATATAATTTCTCAACACAAGATATAAATTTATAACATAAGACACACAATATGATGTGTGTCACATAGCTACTAATTTGTTGTTGGTACGGAATCAATACTCTCAGCCCATTTGATTCGCTGAAAAATATTTGAAGAGAAATGAAATTGAAATTTAATGGAAAATAAATTCCAAGAAAATGGATTCCATTGTTTGGTTGGTAGAAAAGAAATTACTAGGAATATGGATTTCATTGTTTTTTTGAAAGGTGGATTCCATTGTTTGGTTGAATATAATTTAGAAAGGTAATGAATAATAAAGAATATAAAGACCAATATGCCTCTAAAAAGATTAATAAATAAATAGGTACCTATATAATTAAGAAATTTTCATAAGGGTAAATTGGTCCAATCAAGTTATTTTTTCTCAAGCCTTGCAGAAAACAAAATCCCATCGGTTTGCAAATAATTTATTTTCCTCAACTTTGAGAAATTCATTTTCCAATGAATCAAACCAAACACCTTTTTAAAGACCAAAATTTCATAACACACAACACAAAAACTCACAACACAAGACACACCCTTATAGTACCAGGAATTACCTGCAACTAGAAATGGTTTTGTTTGCCATTATTAAGCGTCTTGCAAAGACACTTTGCCTTCTCCCTCAAAGCAAATTTTTGTATCTTCCCAGTGGAATTAAGTGGCAAATCCCCAAAGATTACAGCCTGAGGGACCATATGGTGAGGCAAATTATCTTCACAGAACTTGATAATGTCTTCCTCCGTGGCACGCCTCCCTTCTTTGAACTTCACAAAAGCACAAGCTGTCTGCCCTAAAACCTCATCAGGTTTCCCCACAGCCACAACTGCAGCTTCCAAAACCATGGGATGCCTAACCAAAACACTTTCAATTTCGAGACTACTTATAATCTCTGTCCCACGTTTGATCACATCTGCTCTCCTGTCCTTGAGTTCTATGTACCCACTGGGGTGTTTCACCCCAATGTCCCTAGTCCTATACCACCCTCCCTCAAAGGCTTCTTGGGTTCCTTGTTTGTTCTTGAAGTACCCTAACATCATTGTATTACTTCTGAACATTATTTCTCCGGTGGTTTCCCCATCCGCCGGCACGCTTTGCATGGTCACCGGATCTTTCACGTCTGCCCCTTCTACCTGTAAAGGTGAGAAAATCATATCTATAATCACAGAAGTACTGGCTATTTATAGTCCACTAATGAAGTTATAGCAGAACTATTCTAAAGGAGAGCTACTGTAACAACCTGTAGACTAAATAATACAGTAAATATGTCCGCATGGCCGGACAGCTCAACTGGTGAAAGGAATAATACAATTAATCTTTTAACACTACCATGATGTTGTGCATCCCTTCTCGAAGCCTCCTCAGTTTCTCGTCGTCGGTTAAGGTTGTCGGACGAGAATTTATATTCTCTCGAGAATTCCAAGGTATTGATGTCACTGGACCTAGAGCCTCAGTCATGCCATATGCATAGCTTATGTTGAACCCTTTTGCTTCTAGTTTGGATAGGATTTCGGATGGAGGTAACACACCTGCGACTATAACGTCCACTTTGTTTGGAGGCAATTCAACGTTGGTGTTGTTGTCTATGGCGTCTGCAATTTTGGTTAAAATGAGGGGTTGGCCACAGAGATGTGTGACATTGTGGCGGGAAATGGCGTCCAAGATTGCTTGGCCTGAAGAATCTCTGCTGCAGATGTTTGTGCCGCCGAGAGCCGCCATGGTCCACGGCAGGCACCACCCGTTGCACCGGAACATGTCTACCGTCCACAGAAAAACCGGCGATTTTCCGGCCATCTCAGAGCGGAAGATTTGTGCTATGGTGTTCAGATAAGTTGCCCTGTGGCTGTACACTGCTCCCTTGGGATTCCCTGTTGACCCTGAAGTGAAATTGATCGCGATTGGGTCACATTCATCGTCTGGGTACACAATCTTGAAATCAGAATTCCCCGTTTCGAGAAACTCGTTGTAAATCTTGAAATGGAATCCCTTCATTTTAAGAAGTTTGTCATAAATCTTGAGTTCAGAATGTCCATTTTCAAGAAACTTATTGTGATTCTTGAAATTAGATGTTCCATTCTCAAGAAACTTATCATGAATCTTGAACCCGGATTCTCCATTCTTAACAATCTTATTGTCTTCCAAGATCAAGATTAGGAGTGGTGGTGGGCTGAGTTTTGCTAAGTCTAAGGATTCAACAACAACCTCAACATATTCATAGTCAACAAAAATGGCTTTGGGTTCCAATAGGGCTAGTTTTAGCGACAAAGTGGGCGAGTCAAGCTTTGTGTTGAGGGCAGAAAGGACAGCACCGGTCATTGGGACACCAAAATTGAGCTCATAAAGGGGTGGTATATTAGGTGCCATTGCTGCTACCTGTTTGTACAGATATTTTGAATGTGAAAGCAAATATATTCAGTATTATATGCAAATAGAAGTTAAGCATCCTCAATATGAACTAGTTTTCGAATGTGTCAGTAAATGTCTAAAAATTGTAGTACTAAAAAAAGTTAAAAATTAATTTCCGGAAAAGCAAGATACAGTATTTGAGATTTAAAATAAGAAAATAATTATGTGATGAATAACAATTGTTTAGAAAACAAGAAGATGAATGGAAAATTCAAGTAGTGACTAATACAATTTTCTTAAAATTGGGGACGGAGAGGGTGCCAGGAGCGTGCGTTGAAGTGTTACAACAGTACAATATAGTTGTTCATTCAAGTTATATTGCTATTAGCGAACAAGAACGATATCGACATGTAACACAAATATTTCTAGCACCCGCGCATAGAAATGGTCGCAAATACCTTTTCTTTAAAAAAAAAAATATGAATCCGCAACCCTTTTACGAAAAAGGGTTGCGGATTCTTAACATTCTGCGACCCAACAAAAAGGGTAGAGGAAAGTGTAAAGACAATAAGACTGCACAAAGAGTCAATATTGTCGCCACTAAGGCTCGATTTCACAACCTCCCTTATAAGAGAACAACTTAGTGCCATTGGACCACAAGGTCATTAGCTTAGTTATTAACGTCATGACGAAGTCACAAGCAGCAAAGTTTGGTAACAACAAATCTCTATACAAGCAACAAGACTGCAAAATAGCAAAGATTTTCGGGCTGATCGACATATGTGCTGACAGTATCAACATCATGACTTTACCAACAGTAGAACGGTAGAAGTCTATAACAGCAAAGTTTTGGGGACACGAGATTGGAGCAGTAAAGTTTTAAACCAACAACAACAAGAGTCTATAAAAACAATACAAGACTAAGTTGCCCGCATGAGTAGCTCAACTGGTCATAGAGGTGAAACTTTGAAATAATGACCAGGGATCGAGTCTCACTAATGGCAGTGCCGGTAGCTCAACTGGTTATAGAAGTTGAAAAGAGGTTGAAAACAACAAGAGATAACCAGCAAAGTTTAGGAAGTTGAAAAGAGGATGAAAACAACAAGAGATAACCAGCAAAGTTTATTTTTAAGTATGATAAACAGGAGAACTTTTCTACCAACATTATGTGCATATTATCCAGAGAGGACATATGCCTTTTCAGGAAAGTGTCTTGAAAGACTACAAAAGTTACATTTTTAGAACAAGTTACAAGCATCTATTGCACCCAAACTACACATGTCAAATTCGAGCAAATTAAATATTTTAATTGCAAGTGGATGCATGAAGTTCAAATTTGTTTTCTTTCAACGGACAAGCTTGAAGACTCATCTATAAATAGCTTGAATATTGAAGAGAAGAGATGCAGAAGATATCTTTAGATTTACAAGTTCAAGCACTTACAAAGCTTAAACCGCAATCATTCAAGTTCAAAGAGACTTCAATGCTACAAAGATCAACTTAGTTCTTTCGAGTATCTTAATTGAAATTTCAACTTGTTGTTGAACTTTTGTATCTTTATTGAGAGTAGAAAGAGGAAGAGTAAAAAATGGTGCCTGTGAAAACATTGATCAGTGTTGGTTTTGTGATCAAAGCACTTGATCAATGTAATTATATTTCATCAAAAAAAAATGGTTATAGTGAATTCCTCCCAAACATAAGAGTAGAGTAAAGTAGAAGAATTACATCATAGCCTTTAGATCACTATAAATTCTCTTGACTTATTTACATTACAACACTTTACTTTATACTTGATTATCTTTCTTACAATCTTTTAACTTTAACAAAACTTTTTAAAAGAACATTTATTTCCCCAGCACAATCAAACAAACTTTTCAACCTTAATTATAAAGTTAAGAAGCCAACATATTATCTTTTGTGATTATCTTGAAAGATTAACTTTATTAATTAAGCATAAGTTATGATTGTTTAAATTACTTCGCAAAACTTTTAAAAGTATATTCACCTCCCCTCCGCCCTCGTGACTTCTACCTAAGTTTAACTGGGACCAACAACAAAGATTAACCTAAGAGGATTATTACAAAGCAAATTTTGGAGAGTTTAAGTTCTTAAGATTACATCAATCAAATCATCAAAAATTATACTATATAGATAATTCCAAACAATTGGTGCATCACATGTTTACCTTTATGTTCTTGGAATTTAACATTATTTAACATTTCTGTTTTAAAATGACTAAAAATGTCACTTCATAGATAACTTTGAGACAAAATTTAAGCATGCTTAGCTTATATATAACTGAGTATTAGCCACATGTATAACTTAAAGGAGAAAAAAATGTTATCTTTTCTATTAACAAACAAAACACATTTAGCTGCATTGTCATTTTATATTATAAATTAAAAGATTAATCTTAGGTTTGTTACGTTGATTCCTACATTGTATGTACAAACAATCAATTAATTGATCGATTTATTTATAAAAAGACTACAAAAATAAAATTAAATATATTTGTAACAAACTAGCCATGATTAATATTTATATTGCAACTTGTAATAAGCCACTTATACTTTTAATTATGTGTATATAAACTAGGGCACGATGCACATGTTTTGTACAATTGTACACATGAATATATGAAATAGGCCGGCATTTTCTATTTAACATGTCTTTACCACAATTTTATTAAAAAGCCATGGAAATTATTGCATATGGCGCCCACAAACAATCGTATATGCATCAAGATGCATGGACATACACGTTATTGAATTTGAAAGAACATGCATGCTTGCATAGTTAAATACAAATGAACAACAATAATGTCAACTTTAGTGATGAACTTTTGTGTTCTTTCGTTAAGCTACATAAATATATAATACAGTGAGTAAATATAAAATTCATTTAAGATGAACCCATATGCCAACAACATTTCACGTTATACTGATCATGATGCCCATGCTATTTAAGTATTGACGACCTATGATTAATTACCAAGTTCTATCATTAAGGTTCTAAAAAAATTTCAAAAGTTTTATCATTAAATTGTTAAAAAAAAAAATTAAAAATTAAAAATTGTTTGACCAACTAAATAAACTAAAAACTAGCTTATTTACTTTGCCAAACACGTCTAAAATCTTTTAATTTCAGTCATTAAATTGTTGTGAATCCAAACGCGTACGTATGAATTAATTGGAGTTCCTCTCAAAGTGAGGGGAGCTCCTTGTCCGCAGTAAGCAAAGGTCTAGCTCAGCTATGATTTAATTGAGTTACCATGATTTACATCCTCCCAGATGCTCTGTCGGAAATGGGTGTGGGGGGCCCTTAGATTGGGGTTCAAACTTTTGGAAAGAATGAATTAATTGGAGTAACAAAGGGTTCGTCAAAGTCTTTAATTTTTGGGAATCTTAATAACTTCGTCAATGAATGTTTCACATGGCTACTACGGACTGTAATGCGTATGAAATGGTTGTGATGACTTTGATGTTTTCTTGGAACAATTGTCAGTGCACTTGTACTACTTGTTTATTTCTGTCTAGTACTGTTTGATTTCAAAAATCAAATAAAAAAAATCTGTTACATGTGAATCTTGTAGTAGAAAATTTCACTTTAATTTGTATATTAAAATAAAAACACAAAAAAGTAATATATTAAAAAAGAGACATTTCATTATGATGAGTATATACAAAATATTAGTTGATTCTTGACTTGGTGTCAAGAGATAAGTTTAGCGAATATATTTTTTGAGGGAATTGGGAGAAAATTTAAATTTAAATTTAAAATATTGGACACTGCAAATCTGCAATAGAAAAAGGATGAGCACCGAAAAAAAAAAAACATTATTAAGAAACGAAAAACTATTGAAACACGTCTGTTAAAGAAATCCAGCTAAGTGAAGAATATGTTTGTGGTGTGAATGCGTGATTCATAAGGAAAGAAAAATAGACTATGACTAGGTTTAGGTCTAGGTCTTTCTAAATTAAAGACTTGTAATGCTTATCTAAGATTTGTATGTAACATACACTTGTATAATAAATATATAATAGATAGAGACACAGATAATATCTTAATAAATAACAACTTTAAACATTAAGGGTATAATTGGTTCGAACATGGAGATCTAAATTAAAATAAGAATAAAATATTTGATAATTAGAATAAGTTTTGGTGAAAGCATCTTGCATGTTTGGTAGTAGGCTGTAATTGGAACGATATTATTGTTTGTCTATGTATGATCCTATAATTGGAATAAAGGTTTTAAAAATACATAAATAAATAAAAAATTTAAGGCAAATGATCCTAATATGATACATCCAAAGCACAATATAAAAAAAAAAAATTTTAAACAAAAATCTAAAAGCACTAATCTATGTAGTAATAAGGTGACAAATGAGGGATAAATTAAATTAGATAATGAGTTTTTAAATTATAAGGGTAATTAAATTCTATAAGTACCTCGTTTTTTTCATTAGTGCACCACAGACTAGCAATTTGTGGTACATCCCACTTTACTCAAAAGTGTTGCACCAAGCACTCATCAGTGCACTACACACTCGCCTTCAGTGCATCATCGAAATCGCATTTGGACCAAATTATATATATATATATATATAGCGAATGAATTTCATAGTGAATCACGAAATTTAAGCACATGATCAACTTGATTGGAGATGAATATTTCCATTTTATAAATTTTTTTTTTTTAAAAAAAAAAATTGACAAACTTTGTAAGGTACTCCCAATAATGGCATCCTGATCTGCAAGATTGCACTTGACCAGTGGAAGTTCTATTCCTCCCACCAAGGTTTATAAGCGTTTTACTTTTTACTTCTTTTTTTCTTTTCTTTTTAAGAATAAAATTATACATGCATAGAATTCAAACCCTAGACGGCAAGTATTCTTAATTGCAGGCAAATGTTGACTCAATACCTCAGTGGACAAAATTGTGTTCAAAGGATAATAGACATACATTGAATTATTATTATGTATGTTTTCAAAATAAGGATAAACACTGAATGGGATCCGAGAAATTAAAAAAGAAAAACAAAAACAAAATGACGGAGGAATTAAGAGATGTTTGGTATGGAGGAATTGCAGTTTATTTTTCAAAACGTTTCAGGAAGTTAAAAATTTCAGAGTTTGATTGTGAGGAATTACAATTTCTCAAATTTGAAGAATGGCAAATTTCACTTTTCCTAAGAATTACAATTGCATAATATATGGGACGAAATCCGTCGTTATATGGTTTAGCGACGGATTTAGCCTGTTTAGCGACGGAAATTGTCCGTCGCTATTTGCGTATTTTTTTGTAGTGTGTCATCCATAATAATCATACCATGAGCATTTTAGTCTATATACTACAATACTTATTTTATTTCAATCCTCATATGTATAAAACATTATACTCAGTAATTTTATTTATACCTGAAATTTGAATTCCAACTTTATCCATAGATTATTCTTAATTATGTGCGAATTGAAAAGCATAAACCAAGGGGAAGGAAGAGAAGTAGTAGAAATAAAAATAAAAGTGTAAGATGGCTAAACTTACAATGTCGCGACGACCGATTCCGAGGTGAGAAAGTGCAGATGCGAGGTTTATGCATCTCTGGTGCGTTTGCTTCCATGAAAACCTCCTTCTGCTGATGTTGTTTCCGTAGATTATAGCGTCCCTATCAGCATAAACAAAAGCTGCGCGTTCCAAGAAAGCAATAGGCGTCAATGCTATATAGTTTGCAGCGCACCGATCCATGGCTGGCTTATACTATACCTAGTGTGGGTATTGGCAATGGAATATGGGGAAAATGGTGGAGAAGCTTATTCCCCATTCGATCTCCAAGGGCATAAATTAAAGTCGCGTTATTAGGTCAGTCGTCGACTTGTCGTCATTCGTCAACGACCTCCAGCCAATATGACGACGTATATATGGCTTATGTATATATATATATATATATATATATATATATATATATATATATATAGTATAATATATAATGAATAGATGATGATATCGGACCATTACATATTTAAATCAACAAAAGATCAAGATATGCACGTCATTATGTTGACATGCGCAATAATAAATTAAAGTACATTCTTCCAAAGGCTAAACCCCAATTCAGGGGCCCCCGACAGAGCATTTGGGAGGGATGTAAATCATGTTGATTCAACTGAACATGAATCACAGAGTTCGCCTCATGTTGATTCAACTGAACATGAACATGAATCACAGAGTTCGCCTCATGTTGATTCAACTGAACATGAATCACAGAGTTGCGCAATAATAAATTAAAGTACATTCTTCCAAAGGCTAAACCCCAACACAGGGGCCCCCGACAGAGCATTTGGGAGGGATGTAAATCATGTTGATTCAACTGAACATGAATCACAGAGTTCGCCTCATGTTGATTCAACTGAACATGAACATGAATCACAGAGTTCGCCTCATGTTGATTCAACTGAACATGAATCACAGAGTTCGCCTCATGTTGATTCAACTGAACATGAATCACAGAGTTCGCCTCATGTTGATTCAACTGAACATGAACATCACAAAGTACATGATTCAACTGAACATGAACATGAATCACAGAGTTCGACAGAGCATTTGGGAGCAGGCCTCATGTTGATTCAACTGAACATGAACATGAATCACAGAGCATTTGGGAGGGATGTGAATCACAGAGTTCGACAGAGCATTTGGGAGCAGGCCTCATGTTGATTCAACTGAACATGAACATGAATCACCACTACAAGAAAAATGCACATAGACAACACTAGAAAGACAACAGTTTTTAAGAAAAGTGTTGTCTTTTGTATAAAAGACAACAGTTTGGTCCAAAACCGTTGTCTTTGATGCAACACTTTTGTCAAAGACAACGGTTTTTACTTAACCGTTGTTGTAAGTGTGTTGTCTTTGTGCATTTTGTGAAAAGACAACACCACAACGACAACGGTTTTTTAAACCGTTGTCTATGTGCGTTTTTTTTTTTTTTAAAAGACAACGGTTTTTTTAACCGTTGTCGTTGGTGTGTTGTCTTTAAGCGCACTGGAATACACAACACTAGAAAGACAACGGTTTTTTAAAACCGTTGTCTTTGTGCGCTCTTTTTTTAAAAAAGACAACGGTTTTATTTAACCATTGTCATTGGTGTGTTGTCTTTAAGTGTACTCGAATACACAACACTACAAAGACAACGGTTTTTAAAAACCGTTGTCTTTGCACGCTCTTTTTTATTTAAAGGACAACGGTTTTTTTACCGTTGTTGTTGGTGTGTTGTCTTTAAGCGCACTAGAATACACAACACTACAAAGACAACGGTTTTTTAAAACCGTTGTCGTTGCGCGTTCTTTATTTGTTTAAGACAACGGTTTTATTTAACCGTTGTCTTTAAAATATAAAAAAAGATGTTAACATCTTATGTATGAATGTGCAACATCTGGTATATAACTGGGTTGCTTCTGTGTTAGGATGCCCGCAGGAAAAATAGAACCTGAGACCTCTAACATAATAAACTCTAAACCCACCAAGCTACACCAACACTTATATATTTAAGCGTAACATCTAGGATATAACCAGTTTGCTTCTGTGTTGTCTCTGAGAACAAAGACAATGATTGTATAAAATAGGTTAAAGATGCTACCAGGAAGGATAGAACCCAAAACCTCTAACATAACAAACAAAACTAAACCCACCAAACCACACCAACCTTTGTTTACTAAAGTGTTACACCTTATCTTTTACTTATAATTTTGGGCTGGCAGCTTTGACCTCCGGGCATTTGAACAAAGAAAGAATACAATTCAAAAGTTAATTTAATAATTATATTTTCGTTCATATTTAAATATAAAATTATTCACCAAAATTTCAATTTTAATTAATTAAAGTTTTATTTTCAATTACAATTAAGACCAATCTATGAATTCAAATAATAACAATAATAATAATTATCAAGTATAAAAAATAATAGATTATATCTATAATATTTTTTTAAAAAAATTGGGGGCCCTGTGCGGTCGCGCCGGTCTGACATGGCCTAGTACGGCCCCGGCGGTGCGGTGTGGTGTTCCGAATGGTGCGGTATGGTGTGGATCGGCGTAAGGGCGGTATGATAGGGGCCTAGGTTGGTAATCGATCCTTTCGGCTAGCGCATGACTAACAAGGTTAGCTATATGTTGGTAATCAACCATTCCGGCATGCATGGGACACGTGGAGAATGGATATGAAAGAGTAGTTGATATTGTACAGTTAGTTATAGCCCATTTCTTTTGCCGCGATCTTTGTAATAATTGGGCCGCCATCTGTCTGGGTAATAAAGGACAAATTATGATGTGCAACTGTGTGCACCATGGTGCACACTGTTCTATGTTCATAATTACCGAACTATATATTCATAATTTTTGAAATTCATATTCATAATGATTGAACTCTATATATATTCACAATTACAGAACTCTATGTTCATAATTTTCGATATTCATATTACCAAATGTTGAACTCTGTATTCACAAATCACAAAACTTTAGTATAGAAATTATGAATCTACAGTATAAAAATTTTGAATATTTACACTACAAAAAAAAAAAAAAAAAAAAAAAACAATTTTTAGTGACAAAATTTAGTGATGGGTAGAAAAACCCCTCACTAAATGTATTATTTGTATAATTTTTGTGAAAGTAAAAAATTACTCTAATTAAAAGTTTATGATTTAGTGACAAAATTTTAATTATATATTTATTTTAAAAGTATACTCTGACTATTGACATGAAAGATATTGTTACCATCATCATTATCTGAAAATTATTTCACTCAAATCTCATTCCCACCAAAACCTTATTTTTAGGCGCCCAAGTCTAATTGCTTCTAAAACACTAGTACAAAATTGAACATACCACCGGCTTCGCACCCATCGCACAGCTACCACCGGCTTCACGTCACACCCACCACCGTTCACAGCCACCGCGACAAAGCCACAGCCACCACCGCGACGCCGACGCCACAGCCGCTGCCACGCCGTTGATCTGAACCCCTCCCTTGCCCTGCGACGATGGCGGCCTCCCTGTGACGACGCCACAGCCGCCGGCTCCGATGTGAGTTTGTGAGAAATTTTAATTTATTGATTTCCTCTTGCCTATAAATAATTAACCATTCGCCTCTGCATAGTGTTCATGTATATTGTTATGTTATTTCATATTGTTAATAGTTCTTCAATATTTTCACTCTATTTTCCTCGTTTTCTCGTATGTATATTTAGGTTTTTTTTTTTCTTCTATTTGCTTGATTTTGTTTCTACTATTGCAATGATTTTATGGTATACAAGAGTGATTTCCGCAAGAATTACAAGGAGAATTTTCCTGATAACAAATCTATGGCCATTGTGAGATTTCTTAAAGCATTGCATTTAAGTTATTCTTAATACTAATTGCATAGTTGTTTGGATGATACGATCATAATGTTATTATTATTTTAAGCATTATCACTATTGTGTTTTTGTATATTAAAATTGAACCAAAGCTTCAATTGATAGATTATTTCCTGTTTAATTTCATTTAAGGTTGGGAAAGCTGGTGGTGAGAAATGGAAGGCAATGTCTGACTCTGTGAGCTCTGATCTTCTGCTTTAGAGTTATTATTAAGTTTGTGTATTTAAATTTGAATTAAATTGCTCGATACATCTGTCACACATTTGCTATATGGACTCTACTGTTAGGAGAAAGCTCCATATGTGGCAAAGGCATCACCTCTGAAGTCTGAGTATGAGAAAGCTATGCAAGAGTTCAAGAAAAATGTCTCTGTAATTCTCTTTGAAATTGATCACTTTTGATATTTTCCTTATTTCACATCATTATTACATTACTTTTTGCTATGATTTTCCGCTAATGGCTTTTTAAATTATCCTCTACTTCTCTATTGTAGAAGAGTAGCAGCTCAGAAGCAACTGTGTCTGAAGAATCTGAGCAGACTTCTGAGGTGAAAGACAACTCTGAGCATGAAGCAAGCTGTTAGGTCTGTTGCAACAAAGTTTCCTTTACTGTAGGGTTTGGTATTTCAATTGTTTCACAATTCAGACTAATTCCTCATGATATAGTCTACCGTTTGCATGTTAATGAGTGTAGTACTTAGATGGTTTTCATACTTCTGTTGAATACATACTTGACAAGAATGTATCTACACATATATATACTTTCTATTATGAGAATGCAAACATGTCATCATATTATTAAGATGTGTGGACAATATCAATCTTGAAATGTTTTCCCTCAACCTTTAGAGCAGCTTTGGTGGTGCTACATCTTATTATATACTCACAGGATTCCAGAATTTCCCCCGGTTACTTGTCTGTACTTATATTGTAACTTGTAAATGCTCCGTAACTATTTTCTATATATCAGATTTGAAGATCTGAAGGACCAATTAAGAATGCGTTTATTGAAGAAGCGCAAAGTTAAAAGAATCCAGTTTGTAATTACAAATGGGGGTTTATCTATAGAATTGAATACATATGCTTTAATCCGTCCAACCAATCCAGGTCTGATTTTATTTCTTCATAGTTTCGTGAACCAAATATCTTCAAGATAATTGATAACTAATTTATTTTCTTCTTTCTCAGGGACTATTACTTGGCTTGATTCTGTCTCTAACCTTCCTATAAAGGTAATCAATCTTAATGTCTTCTATTCTCACAAACAAGAATACAAGATAAAACTTTAGCCTTGAGATGATGGTTTTAAATGAATCAAAATGAACAGCAGTCTCTGGACAGGGTAAACTAAGTGGAATTTAATAAAGTTGTTGTTAATTGACTTCCTGTAGTCTGTCTTTGTTTACTTATGTGCAACTGGGCAAGATAGAACAAATCTTACTTAAGTGACTACTGATCATTCACGTGTTCTCATATTCTACGTTTGATGTGATGAGCATTACTAGTTTGCTAACAAATTAATACTCAAATTTTTAATTACTTGGTGACTTCATTTAACAATGATCTATAGGTCTGTTGATCTCATGGTCTTACCAGTGAATGGTGACATTGTATTGTGTCTAATTGATATCCTTGATCTCTAAGGTATCACCATTGTTCACTTCGAAGGTTGGTCCAGGGAACTGTCCATTCACTGTTATTGTGTTATGGGTATTGCACGACCTCTTCACTGGTGTTGCTTGAATATGTTTCACAACTCTAATCAGTATCTTCCAGTTTATGAGAGCCAAATACAAACCAAATGAAAATGAAAAATTAAATACTGAGAAAAGAGAGCATTGTTAGGATCAAATTCTTACAACAAACTGGTGTTTGTGAACTTCAGCATTTGCCAAAGAAAATGCATTTGCATAGAGAACCAAAAGGCTAATGAACAAGAAAGGGTGGAGCGATTTAGCAATGCTGTGGCTGAATGCTTCCATGTTGCAATTCAGAGTTTATCAGGTATGGTAGATATATGTTTTATGCTTTTACTTGGTGAAGAGAAAAGTATCAAGGCCTTTCTTTTATACAGGGGATGAGGTTGGTAGATTTGATTTCAGAATGATTGTCAGCTTAAAGGGCAGACTTAGTTCAACCCTATAGGAGCCGGTGCATCCACTAACCTATCAAACTACTAAATTCTCATAATACTTTGCTTCCATTAGATCTAATATAATCTGCCAGGTTCATAACTTTTGCATTTATGGAAATTTGTTGGCAGCATCTCTTTTGTTGTGGCTGGATTAGTTGATGAATGGGCTGCTCTCTTCTTTGAAGAGCTTGATTACATTAATGAGGGAGAAAATGTGACACTTTTTGTAGAGATTTTGAAGAAAGTATACTTCAAGGAGGTCACATATCTATGAGAAACATGTCTTTGTTAGTATCATGTACATCATGATACTAATTGAGAGGCATCACACATGGCTTAATGATGAGTTAACTACCAAAGTCAATGATCTCATAAACCTTCGTAAAACTCATTCCAAACTTGAGGCATATACATGTCTGTTAAACTTTCTGATGTACTTTCTGATGTAAGTTGGTATTGAAGAGCATGTCATGCCTACTATTTATTCTTTGGTTCACCCACACAACATCACTGATATGAATGTATTGACAAATTCAGGTAGAGAGGAAGTTCAGTGAAAGTTCTAGCTCTTTGACATGGTACACGGACAGAGTAAAGGAGCTGGATTTGAAGTTGGCATCCTTAGACTTGGTTCGTGAATTTTTTTTGTAGTATTATGACTTGGATGATATATGATTCGATTAGAATTGTTCATGGAAGTATTTAGACTTGTTAATTAGTTCTTTTGTAACTACACTTGGCCATGGTGAATGGATAAATTGATTTTTATATGATTAAAATTTCAGCAGGTTAAAAATAGTTAAAACCGTTTAGACAACGGTTAAAAACCGTTGTCTATTTTACAAAAGACAACAGTTTGAAACTGTTGTCTTTTCTACAAAAGACAACACTTTATGAGTGTGACTTTTAACAATAGCGGTTTCAATAACACAATAGACAACAGTTTATAACTGTTGTTTTTTAAAGAAAAGACAACAGTTAAAAACCGTTGTCTATGTGCATCACTTTTAACAACACCGGTTTCAACAACATTGAATAGACAACGGGTCAAAAACTGTTGTCTTTGAAAGAAACGACAACGGTTTAAAACCGTTGTCTATGTACATGACTTTTAACAACACCGGTTTCAACAACACTCAATAGACAACGGTTCTTAAACCGTTGTTTTTTCTAGAAAAGACAACGGTTATTAACCGTTGTCTATGTGTGTGACTTACAACAACACCAGCTTCAACAACACTTAATAGACAACGGTTAAAAAACCGTTGTTGTTTCTAGAAAAGACAACGGTTATTAACCGTTGTCTATGTGCGTGACATACAACAACACCGGCTTCAACAACACTTAATAGACAACGGTTAAAAAACCGTTGTTGTTTCTAGAAAAGACAACGGTTATTAACCGTTGTCTATGTGCGTGACTTACAACAACACCGGCTTCAACAACACTTAATAGACAACGGTTAAAAAACCGTTGTTGTTTCTAGAAAAGACAACGGTTAAAAAACCGTTGTCTATGCGCGGGACTTACAACAACACCGGCTTCAACAACAGAAATTATACCCCTACGACAACGGTTATTAACCGTTGTCTATGCGCATTTTTCTTGTAGTGCACAGAGCATTTGGGAGGGATGTAAAAATCATGTCCGAATCACAGAGCACAGAGCATTTGGGAGGGATGTAAAAATCATGTCCGAATCACAGAGCATTTGGGAGGGATGTAAATCATGTTGACATGAATCACAGAGTTCGACAGAGCATTTGGGAGGGATGTAAATCATGTTGATTCAACTGAACATGAATCACAGAGGCTAGACCGGTGCTCCCCCCTCACAGAGTTCGACAGAGCCCTCACATGAATCACAGAGGCTAGACCGGTGCTCCCCCCTCACTTGAATCACAGAGGCTAGACCGGTGCTCCCCCCTCACTTGAATCACAGAGGCTAGACCGGTGCTCCCCCCTCACTTGAATCACAGAGGCTAGACCGGTGCTCCCCCCTCACTTGAATCACAGAGGCTAGAATCACAGAGGCTAGACCGGTGCTCCCCCCGTGCTCCCCCCTCACTTGAATCACAGAGGCTAGACTGGTGCTCATTGCGCACAAAGAGCCCCCCTCACTTTGAGAGGTTGCTCCCACACTGCCGCTGGTGAGACTCGATCCCTGGTCATTCTTCCAAAATTTCACCTCTATGACAAGTTGATCTGAGCTACCCATGCGAGCAATAAATTAAAGTACATACATACATGGTAACTGAGTAAGATTCCACTTCACGCACTGATAGATTGAGTAATATAATTAAGGAATAAGGTTCAAATTGGCCACTGAACGTAACCTGAAAATGCAATTAGGCCACTGAACGAACAAAAAGTGCAATTAGGCCACTGAACACTCCAAAAACAGGCAATTAGGCCACTGAACTCTCCAAACGTATGCAATTTTACCGGATAGCAGGTTACCATCAATTTTAGCAGGTTACCTGCTTACGTGGCAGCTGAGTTGGCATTTTTAATAATTTTTAAATAATTTTTAATAATTAATTTTAATAATAAATTTTATAAAAAATTGAAAAAAATTAAATAAAAAATAAAATAAAGTCATTTTTATATTTTAAAAATTTTTTTAAATAAAAATTTATTATTAAAATTTATTAAAAATAATTTAAAATTTATTAAAAATGCCAACTCAGCTGCCACGTAAGTAGATAACCTGCTAAAATTGAAGGTAACCTGCTATATATCAGGTGAAATTGCACATTTTTGGAGTGTTCAGTGGCCTAATTGCACTTTTTTTTTCATTCAGTGGCCTAATTACATTTTCATGTTATGTTCAGTTGCCAATTTGAACCTTATTCCTATAATTAAACTACTAAATCATATATGTGCAGGCATCCAAACGTCTTTTATGGCTGCTCCCATTTTGTTAATTCTTGTATGTTTTTGGTGTGCATGTGCATGTTATGTGTATATATGTGTCAACTAACTAGCTAGCTAGGTCATAATATGTATACAAAACAATTGAAAATGTATGTATTACATTTTAATTAAAAGTTTAAATTAATGAGATCGAATTGAAGACTCACTGTATTATAATACTCATCAGATAAGTAGCTAGATCTTCTCCTTGCAAAAAAAAGAAAAGAATATATAACATAATGGGAACTAATTAATTAAGCATGAAGTTTATATGAAAGTGGAATATAATAATGAGCCGAGAATTGAATTGAAATTGCAGGTAGATCCAACTTACAATGTCGCATGCAGATAGATGCATCTCTCGTGCGTTTAAATTTGCTTCCACGAAAACTTGCTGATATGATGTTATCCGTAGATTATAGCGCCCGGCCCTATGGCTATAATATATATATAGCTAGCTAGCTAGGAGCGGGGTTAGTTATTTGGTATGGAGTATGGCCGTACAGGGAAGACTTTTATATATATACTAGTTTTTTACGCGCGATTGGGATAATGCTCATTATTATTATTGTTTTTTTAAATAAGTACTTTAAAGTATATTAAGGTAAGATTATATTGGAATTGTTCATGCATAGATAATTAAAGGTTAAATTTACATATTTAAATAAGCAATTCTAAGTTTACAAATGCAAGATAATATAGTCAAGATTGATTATAATTGTCAATAAAATAATTGTATAGGTATGGATTCGGGCATAAAATATTAAATATATATTAATATTGAAGAGCTAATTACTGATTGCCAAACAAAGACACTCAGAGATAGTTTCCCACTTCAATTTGATGTGTGATTTGAATACTCTTTTTGTCAATAGATCCCCCAAGTAGTTAATATGATTAACTTAATTATATTTTTTTTATTTTTTAAAACAATTATTATTATTATTATTATTATTATTATTATTATTATTATTATTATTATTATTATTATTATTATTATTATTATTATTACATATATGTATACCCTTAGGTCATTTTACATGTTAATCTAAACAGCTAATTTGTTCAAATATCTTTTTACCAATCGTTGATATAATTCGCTAGTCAAATTCGCTAATATAATCCGCTAACGCAAACCGCTAACTGCTGATTGTCAAACAAGGACATTGCGAGGTAGTTCTCACTTCAATTTGTTGTGTGATTTGAATATTCTTTTTGTCAACAAATCCCTCAAGTAGTTAATATGATTAGCTTTATTAATTATATATTTTTTTATTTTTTCATGGTATTAATAAAATAATTGGTAAATAAATATATAGCATTATTTTGTATTATAATTTTGATATTTAATTAAAAAATAGTGCACAAAAAAAAAAATATAATAGACAATGCAGTGAATATAATCAATTGATGAATTTGAATGTAAAGAATTTTTACAAAAAATAAAGACAATATAACTAATAAAATTATTTCTCTTAATTAATTTATTGATAATGAATAATCTTTTTTAATAAAGACATTGTAGGGATAATGTAGCAAATATAATCAATTGATGAATTTGAATGTAAAAATTTTATATATTGGAGAAAAATAAATACAATATAACTAATGAAATTATTTCTCTTATTTAATTTATTGATAATGGATAATTTTTTTTGAATAAAGACATTGTAGACACATAATTCTAAATTAAAGAAATGCATATGTATTATTTTTTGTTGTAGCTACTAAATTTTGATTTAATTTAATAAGATCAGAGTAAAATAGAGTACTAATTATGCCAATTTTGATTGGGAGGGAGTTCGAACCTAAGACCTTTCTTATTGAAATCAATGGGTAAGTTAACGGTGAACTAACAGAAATTAATGGAAAAGATAATATTTAACGGAAAAGTTAACGGATAATCATATTCATTAAGGATAAATTAGGAAATTTTAAGAAAAAAATTAAAATCTGATCAATCTGAGCCATTCATTTGATTAAAAATTTTGACCGTCATTTTTTCTACCCATTATAGGCCTAACTCTCTTGGGCTCTTATTAATATATATATATATATATATATATATATATATATATATATATATATCAACATAAACATCCAGCTGGTGTTAGAATGTCTCAAAGACAAATCAAATCAAGTTGGACGAACAATTGACTTAGTAATCACAAAATTATAAATTAAACTCTCAACAAGAGTGTAACAATGTCTTATTGATTTTCTTAATTTCAACCAGTCAACTATATATGAATTAGTGATGAGCAATTTAGACTAATTTTACCTCGTTGTAATCCTTTGACAACTAGAGTTATCATCATATAATTAAAGTCATAAAATAAAATATGTAAATATTACGGACTAAAAAATGAGAGTGCATGTAATGTAATAAATTTGCGCAGATTTAATCCATCCAAGGTAATATAATAATAATAATAATAATTATTATTATTATTATTATTATAATAATAATAATAATAATAATAATAATAATAATAATAATAATAATAATAATAATAATAATAATAATAATGGGCTCCATTATTATTATTATTATTATTATTATTATTATTATTATTGTTATTATTATTATTAACTAAGCATTTTTTTAGCTCTTTTGACCAAGTTAAATCTACATGCAAAATAGTCAAAACGCTAGCCGCTAATCTAAAACAACATTTACCAGACAAGGTTATTATGTTGTGTTGTTGTTCTGCTCCATTTCTTGTAAATATAATTGGGCGATGGATGAATTTTCCTTTAATTAAAAAAAAAAACTTTTATAATTATATAATATTAATAA